GTTTTTTTTTTTTTTCTTGGGGGGGATTTTTTCAAGTCCATAAGTGGCATATGCCTTTTTTTTGTTGTTGTTTCTCTCTTAATTTTTAAACCCTGCAGCCTCCCTTCCTTCCACCCCCTCGCGCCTCCTTCCCCCCTGGTTTTGACATTTGCACTTGGAACACCGAGTTGTAACATCCACCCATGGAAAGTGGAGTCATTTTGTTTTACATTTTTTCTTTCTTTCTCCTTCCCCACCTCCATGGCCTGGAAAAGGAAGTTTGGGGGATTTTTGGCCTAAGAAGAATTAAACAGAAATTATCCACGAGGTTGTGTCTTAAAGGTGGTTCATTTTTCTCTGACCCTTTGTTACTCAAAAGTCAAGTACTAGGAGTCCTAAGAAATGTTCTGTTCTTGTGCATTATGCAGATTAAGTCTGGATGAATTTGATTTTTTTTTTTTCTGAAAGCTGAGAACAGTGGTTACAAAAAAAAACTTGTTTTGTTTACAGGAAAAATTAATAATTTTGGACAAGAAAAAAAAAAAAAGGAAAAAAAGCACCAAAAAAAAAAGGAAGAAATAATTGTAAAAAATGTGTAGTGACTTTGTTTCAGTTTCTTGTTAAGCCAACGAGGAATGGGCGTTGCCTTTCTTTTCACCATTAATCACTTCTCAATAATAAACGTGAAATCCTGTTGAGCATTACTGGTGTCTCCTGCTCCCTTCTCCTCCATCCCCACCTCCTGGGAAAAAAAAACAACAAACATGGAAATAAAGAGTGGAGTGGTGGTTTGCATTTCCTGGGATATTTTACATTAAATTAAAGGCCAGGTTGGGCAGTGCTTGGAGCAACCTGGTCTAGTGGAATTAGGGTGTCTTTAGGGTTACTTGCAACCCAAACCAGTCTGTGATTCTATGATTTCACTTGTTTTCCCCCAAAAGAATTTTTCTCTTCTTAATTCTTCCATATTTTCAATCTCTCTTTGAGGTGACCAAAACCCCAAATCCCTCCCTGGTGTGCTCTGAGAGGGAGGTGAAACCCACATTGTTGTGCAGGAGGGAAGGACAGAAACTCAACTTGATTAAAAGCCCAAATTAAAAAGGTGGTTTTTTGAGAGAATTTTAGTTGAGAGTAAAAAAAATAAAGCTGGAGAGAGGGGTTTTGGGCTGTGCCTACAGGTGTTTGGGTGCTGGTTTCACTGTTGGTCAGGCAGTTTCTTCCCCTTTTTGGTGAGGAAGGGGAAGATGGGATTTGAAAACCACGACGCTTCAGCTGCAGGTGTGGTGCCTGCAATTATTTTTATTTAAGGAAAAAACGATTTTTATCCACTGGTCATATTCCCCTCCAACCTGGGACAAGCTGCTGCTTGAATTTCCCCTGCTTCAGTCTGCATCTGGTCTAAACTGGGACCAAAACTGGGAATTTTCTAGGTTTGCTTTCAGCAGGGCTGTGTGTTTGAAAACTGCAGGATAAAGGGGGGGAAAAAAATCCACCTTTAATTGTAGCTGAAGACCCCAAAGGCATGGAATGTCATCTCACTGTGAATGAGGCACAGGTAAGAGCAAAAAGGTGGTTACTACTCAGATTTCCTTGGAAAAATAAAACAGGTAAAAATATTTGCGGGCGGTTTGTGGGGAAGGGGAAAGGAAAAGCTGCTTGGCTGCTGTGCTTCCCAAAATTTGTTAATCCCTGGAGTTGTGTAGTGTAAACCCAGCCTGGGCCTTCGCAGGGGCTGATTCGGGGTTTTCCAAACTTTGCCAACACCCCAAATCCCTGGAAGGAAACAGCTCAGCTGAGCCTCGGAGGCAAGAAACTCCAGGCAGGGGGGTTTGAGGGGGAGCAGGTTTGGTGCTGACACCAGTGTGTTTGGGAAAAGGAGATTTCCTGATGGAATCATGGGGATGGTTTAGGTTGGGAAAGCCTCTGGGATCATCAAAGTGCAGCTGTTAACCCGTGTTCACCATTCCTGGGGGGATGCAGGATGGCCGGGGGACACGAACAGGGCTCATCCAGCCCGAATGGAGGGGTTCTGGCACCCTTGGGGGACAGCAGGGACACTGAGAGCAGCACATGGTGACAGCGTTATCCAGAAGGAACTGCCCTGCAGGACAGAGCTGGATGTGGGGGAAAAGCAGCAAAAAGCATCTTCGGAAGGAGCAAACAGTTGGGAAAAGGGTGTTGATGTGGCCGAGCTGATCCTCGTTTTCCTCCTCCTCCTCTTCCCCCACTAACGAAGGTGAGTGAGGAGATTTCCCCCCCGTCCCTCCATCCAAAACGTCCCGCCTGTGTTCCCCCATCCCACTCCATCGGCTCCAGCGCCTCCAAAGGCAGCAGCACCCTCTCCTGGAGAGGGATGGGGCTCAGGGATGGGGCTCTGTGGGCTGGGGAGGGGGATTTAGGGGCGCCCCGGGCTTGCATCCCCTCAGCCTTAGGGTACCGAGTGCTGCCCTGGGGTCCAGGACGGGCGGGCGGGGGGGGTCCGGTCCCTAATCCTGGTTTTTGGGGAGGCTCTGGTGGGGCTCGGCCAGGGGGGCTGGAGCAGTCCCAGGGTGACCCTTGTGCTGTGGCGGCCCCGGCTGCGTTAACCATTGACGGGCTGTTGGGACACGCCGGGACTCTGCCCGTGTCCCCTGGGGTCACCCCCCGGCCGGGGTCCACCGGCCCCGGCCCCGTCGTGCCCCCCGACACGCTCTGACACCCCCGGGGGTCCCACTGGGGGGGTTCTCCCGGGGCCGTGTGCCCTGTCCCCGTGTCCCCGTGTCCCTGTGACGTCCCCTCCTGTGCCCCCCGCGCTGACCCCGCTCCGGGCTGGGCTCTGCCTCCCAGTGCTCCCAGTGCTCCCAGTGCCTCTCCCAGCACCCGCAGCGTCCAGCTCCCAGTTTGGAGGGTGAGACAGCCCCTCTCTGGGGGGCCATGCGGGGTGCGGGGGTGCTCCCCAGCCCCGCCGAGGCTCTGCCAGGCAGAGCACAGAGGATGACAGTGACAGGTACTGGGGACAGGGAGGGGGTGGCACCTCGAGCTCCCCCCAGCCCAGCACCCTCGTGTGGTTTTGGGGGGCTGCTCCCGGGCTGTTAGTGCTGGGAGATGGCCAGTGGCAGCCCCGAGACCCCCACAGGGGCCCTTTTTGGGTCAGGGTGGCCATGAGAGGACACAGGCCAGTGGCCAGATGGGCCAGAAGAGGTTCTGGTTGTCCCCAGGGGTTCATAATGTCTCATGGGGAGGGTTCCCAGGGGGTGTCCCCAAGAGCTGGAAGGGACAGGGACAGGGACAGGGTCAGTGCTTGCTTTTAGGGGGACACAGAGGGTGGAGGTGGCTGCAGTTTGGGTGGGCTGGGGGGTCCTGACCCCATGTCCACCCCCAGCCACCCACGCTGTCACCGGGAACCCCACGGTCCCGCCATTCCCGGCGGAGATGGACACGGCGATTTTCGGTGAGTGGCTCCTGCAGGGCCAGGGCAGGGGGGTCCTAACATCCCTGAGGCCTCCCAGCCCCCCTCACCCCCCCTGCCTGTCCCCCCACAGGCATGGGTTGCTTCTGGGGGGCCGAGCAGCTCTTCTGGAACACGCCAGGGGTCTTCTCCACCCAGGTGGGGTTCTCAGGAGGCTTCACCCCCAACCCCACCTACGAAGAGGTTCGCACAGGTAACCAGGGGCTCCCCCATTCCCTGCTGCCACAGGGACCCCCCCAGTGTCCCCCACAATGGGTGACATCCCCATCCAGCACCTCAGGGTGTCCCACAGCACCTTGCCCTGGGCTGGATCCCATGGGATGCTCTCGGGTGTCTGTTGGATGATGATCCCCCTGTCCCCCACCCCAGTCCCCCCAAACCCCCCCAGCCTGGACAGACAGCCCTGGCTTAGCTGGACAGACGTTTGGCAGAGGATTAACTGTCTGCAGGGAATATTATCCCTGCTGCCACGTCCAGCTGGGGATTTATCCCGGTGTGGGACAGACTTGGGGATCCCACCCCCAGCAGGCACCTGAGGAAGGGGGTTTGGGGGGGTGAGAGGGTGCTGGTGCCCCTCCCAATCCCTGCCTCCATCCCGGGGCAGGGGGAGGTTGGGGGGCAGGAAGCCACGCCCAGGGGCTGCAGCAGGGCTGGCTCTGCTCACAGGGCTGACGGGGCACGCCGAGGTGGTCAGGGTGGTCTTTGACCCCCAGAAAATCAGCTACGAGGAGCTTCTCAAAATTTTCTGGGAGAACCACGACCCCACTCAAGGTAGGGATGGGCCCCTGGGCTGGGCACTGGGGAGTCTGGGGGGGGGGTTAACCCCAAATGGGCTCCAAGAGGAGGGTCTTGGCACTTCCATCCCTTGGGGTGCCCCATAACCACCCCCCCGCGGGTGCTGCCCCCCAGGCATGAGGCAGCAGGAGGATGTGGGCACCCAGTACCGCTCTGTCATCTACACCCTGGGCCCTCGGCAGCAGGAAACTGCCCTCCGGAGCAGGGACCTGTACCAGCAGGTACTGGGGACACTGGGACACCCTGGGGACACCAGCCACCTCCCC